ACCTTCTAAGGGAGGAACTCTGTAGCCCTCTATAGATTTGGAAAAACAGGATAAAAAGGGAGTATTGTGGTTAGAGTTGCCTTAGGAAAAAATTATTATGGGGAATTCATGGAAAAACATTGCTTTCCAATTTCAGAACTACTCAAAATATCTGGTAGGCTAAATATAGAAAACTGTTCACAACCTTGCAGGTCCTAAGGTCTGGTTAAATGTGAGCTCTCGGGGGAGGGTTTCCTCTCCTCCCTTTTTCTCTTTCATTCTTTCTCTCTTTCCTTATTTCCTTCTCAAGCTATCCTGGAAGCTTAACCAAGAATAATTGTTAAATAGAAATCTTAATTGTTGTCCTAGTACAGCTGTTATTTAATTTAAAAAATATTAAATGATGTTAATGAAATTTCCCTCTGAAAAATAACAGCTGAGATGAAACATGGAATGTTTATCAAACTCAATGAGGTCACAAACACATCTTTCAGAAAATGCTCTATAAAGTTTGTGCAACTCAAAGGAATGCTGCAATCACCCAGTGTTCTACTAAGAATTATAGCAGAGGTAATTCAAAGAATTTTGTACATTGGACTGGAAAAATATTGCTCTTTGTGCCCACTAAAATAGATATGTATCCACAGGAGGGAATTAAGATTGGTGTAAAGTAAAACTCCATTCTATGAAGTGTGAGGCCATAAAATTCACTTCTAAATAGAACCAACAAAATGAGTTCACTGTTGATATAACTTTTGGTTATCTTGTTCCCTTCTCGAAGGATGTGTAGGGGGGATATCCATAATATTCAAGCGTTTTCTCCTACTTTACAATGGATGTAGAGTCTAATTTCATTGTCTATAGTAGTTGTGTAGAGTCTTTGCAAACCAAGTGAACAAATATTGAGCAAATGCTTCTGGGAAAAAGACTAAGTTAGAGCCCACAAGTCTCTCATCACAACCTGTTCATCAACCGATCAATGCATAGTCTCTTATTTTAAGTATGTTTCTGTTCAAAGACTCCTTATTTAATATATATGGTTAGTTCATCCCATGGTTAACAGCTCCATAACTTATTCCTGCATGAAGATTCTTTAACACACATACACATTTTTTTTCCACAAGGCACACGACAGCCTCCTTGTGTTTTATGAACATCAGGCAGCATTTTAGCACTAAGCTTAGGGGACATTTTAAATACTAAAATCATCAAGAAAAATTGCAAAAAAAAACTCGCATTAGATTGACAGTGTGAAGGACTCTTGTTTAGAATAAAAGGACTGGAATAAGGAGGCAGATAATGATCCATCCTTATTCCATCTCAGCTAGAATCAGGCATTTTGAATTTTTACCAGTCTGTGCGTGTCTATGAATGGCCATGAAAGCCCAGGAACTGTTGCTTTGGGAGTTACAAATATATTTTAGGCAGGTGGATTTACAAATAAAAATTTTGTTAATAATAAGAATTAACTGTGTATGCACATATACATGTATTTCCCATTCTTTTCAACTCTGTCCTTGTCAAAAGTTCTTCTACATATGCATTGGGGAAGACTCTAGGCAACTACATTCCGTTGAAAGAGAAACTAGATGCTGGCAAGTGCACGTCTAAGAAGGGTAGAATTTACAATAAGTTGAAATGTGCTGGTTCATGCTGTACCCAAACAATTCATAGATTTGGAAAACTAGACGCAGTAGGACCATCTCTGTGTGTATGTGTCTTTAGTTTAATCCTCAAGGCATGGTCACACACAGAATTTTTGAGGGTTACTGGTAAAGTGGAAGACTGGCAGGTGTCAAAGGGACCTTCTCCTCCCATAAACAGGATGGCTGAATCCACTCGAATCCATTCTAATGCTTCAACATGATTCCTGGCTAATAGATGAAAAGGCAATTTTTATATGACAAAAAAAGAAGCAAAGCTAACCTCTTGGGAAGCCTGGAGTGATGCTGAAGTAGCACGTGGGCTTTGGGGTTTAGGACAGAGGGAATCAGACAAGGGCAGAAGGTAAGCCTCACCCACAAGACCATGAAGCTGGAATCCAGCTTCTCTGCACTAACTAGGAGCCTCACCGTCTGCCATCTCTGTGCAAAGGGGTGAAGAAACTACCCACAAGGCTTGAGAAATGACCAGTGTTGTCATTCCTAAAAGATAAAAGACGATAAATCTGTGCTGATGGGAGTAGCCCACACGTTCTCTTCCCTTGATGGGAATTCATGTGAAAGAATAATAAATCAATGGACGACATTTCTGAAGCCTAGCTAATTCAGTCCTTTTCCATTACCAGAGGCAAGTGGAATTTTTATAGGGAACATAATCATCCTAATTGATAAACACTAATAAAATATTATAAATCATGTGAAAAACACCACCATTAAGGAGACACAACCATTACAGCAAAAGGGAGAATTAGTATTCTAAACTTATAATAAAAATCTTGAAAGAGAATAGAAAATATTTTAAAATTGAAACATAAAAAGAAGGAAAATAAATTATAACAAGAGAAAAAAGGCAATAGTAACAAAGAACTCTATGCTGAATTAAAACAGAAATTTTAGAAAATTATGACTATATTAAAAATTCTGTGCTTAATTTAAATCCCAACTTAGACACTTTTGAAGAGAGATTCAGTAAGCTGGAAAATATATCTATCAAAATAATACACAAAAAGAAGAAGAAAAAAATGGAGAGGGCGTGTTTTAAAACCAAGCTTTCAAACATGTGGACTGTTTTAACATAAAAAAATATACAGAAAAACCGCAAAAATGGGAAGTTACACTCTATATGTATAATAATCAAGATACACTCTACTGTCATATATATCTAAAAGAATTTTTTAAAATGATAAAGAAAAGTAAAATTAAAGAATTCTTAAGTTGAAACATTGTTCAGAAGGCAGATATAAAAGTTGATCACCTTTAAGTTGTGTTGAGTCAAATACATTTTTAAAAATTTTAGTGGTGTATAATAATTTTTTCCTTAGTTCCTGAGAAGGGAGCCTCTAAAATTTGGAGTTTTCCGAATGATAGGAGTGTCTTTATTATTCATATATAATAATGAAAATAATAAATAATACAACTGTAATTTTAAGTGTACTGCTTTCCTATGTTTCAGATCACTCTAGTGAATTTCAGAAGTTGAGTACTCTGAATGGTGAGTGGAAACTTCTAGTTTTAGTCAGTTGATCACAGCATGGGTGGCTTGGAATCCCCAGGCATGTGACTTGCGTCTGAGTGAGGGTAGACTTGTAGAGGACTCTGCCCTGCTCTGTGGCATATGACCCAACTCTGGGTAGTTGATCTCAGAAGTCATTGTAAACAGCAACCACTGAAATAGGAATGAAATGAATAACTTCCAACTCTGTCGATGATAAAAGAAGAATAAAGTAAGCTTGATTAATTCACCAGAAAACTGAAGAGGAGAAAAAATAAACCAAGGAAAATCATGGTAAAAAGGGAAATACAAGGTAAGATGGTAGAAATAAAGCCAAGTGTATCCACCCTGATGACAATGAATGCACCTTTCTTTCATCTTTTAACTTAGGACTTCTCTCAGCTATTCTCTTAACCTTTTCCAGGAAGTAGTCTCTAACACACCTGTGTGGGATTGGGTGTCCCCTGTGAGCTTTCATGTTGGCTCCTTCTATTACCTGCTCCTACCCCAAAGACGAAAGGGGTTCAAGCCTTAGGGTGGGGACCTCCACTTTGCAAGCTCACTGCAGAGTGAGCCTCTCCCAGAGCCTGGCCTACTGCAGAGATGCCAAGCATTTTTCTCATAGCAACTTGATGCATTTTTAGTTATAGATCTTAAAAGTTATTTCAAGTTCATTTAAAAACAAGGGCATCACAGAGGGGGGAAAAAAGCACAGAATTACCAAAATTTTCTCAGAAGCAATTGTGATTGATATACATTTTCTGACTCCTTCTTAGGTACGCTTGGAATCATACAAAGATGTATGTGATATGTTCTCTCTGTTCTCTCTTTTTATTTCTGCTTAGAAATGTATTTTGGTCATTTTTATCATGTTCATAGAGGTTGTCTTTCCTCATCAGTTAATATAGATGTATGTTCTATATGATCATTTTAAATTTTTGCATAGTATTCCATTAGATGAAAATAATTACAATAATCATCAACATTTATTGAGTGACTACTTTGAGCTATGTATTATGTTAAGTACTTTGTAGTCATTGCTTTATTTAATCTTCACAGGAATTTATGAGACCTATGCTATGATTAGTTTTCCACTTTGCTGTTGAGGAAACTATGGATCAGAGATGAGTATTGCCAGGGACTGTTTGAGACCATTGTCTACATCCTTCACTACTGCTTTCTGGTATCCTGCCACATTGAACATGCCTCTACTGGTGGATGATTAAGGTTTTTCATTATTATTATTTTTGCAATAATAAACAAAATGTTGGAAAATAGAGATAACATGCGAGTTTATTATCGTGACCATTTTGCTGTTCTATTTTTCCTCTCCCTTGGCCTTTTTCTTGTTACTTAAATGTGGAAAAAAGAAATTCAGAATTCCATCACACTCATTTTTATGAAATATGCTAGTACTTGGTATAGGCAGGCCCTCAAGACTCCTTGGAATCAGGAAATCTTTAGCTCATTGTACGCCATTTAAAACAAATTCCTTGGAAATTCTTCAATGCTCACTTCGAATTTGATTAAGATCCTACTTCATGGCAGTTACTGTGGATTCAATTACACCAGGAACTTAGGTTATTGCTCTTTGAGAAGGACTGAAAAGTGGTTAGCTTCCCTTTTATAAAAAAATATTGTCATGAAGAATAAAGCAACAAATTTTCTCAGTTGGAAAGGTGTTGATACACATTTGCCAAACTTCCCAATTTATAGTTTGTGAAATGAAGACAGATGACATTTCCTACTTCACTATAACATGTAATTTAAGGAACTAGAAATCTGGAGATGGAGGACTCAGAGAACGGGAAAAATTCCTTTTGGATTAAAGTTACTGCTTCATTTCCCCCCCGCCCAATTATAATTACCATAAACATTTTCCCATCTTTGTCCTCTTTTTAATGGTGACTCAAAATGAGATAAAAATTAAAATGCAGAACTTCCTTTATGTAATCAAGTTGCAGTTCTCTTCAGCTCGATTTATTTCACCTAAAATGGGTGTCTAGGAGAAACAAGCACAAAAGGCATAAGTTGGCCTGAGTGATGAGAATTAATTCACATTTCTTACATAAACAATGCTAATATGCAGTCACTGTTATTGATTTACAGAGAAGATGCTACATTCAATCATGCCATCTTTTTAAGAGAATGTATACCTGCCTCTTTCCTGGAGTACCTTGTAGCTGCTCAGAGTTGCTGGGAAAACAGGTTGCACTGAATTGATCTGAACCAGAGTCTCCATAGACCTCATGACTTTTTGTTTGCAAATACTTTCCCATTAATTCCTAATTCAGTTGCCTCTGGCTTGCCCAGTGCAGACTCTTTGGTCCCATTTCAAAGTTTTGCTCAGTTGTTAAGGAAATATTTGGAGATGTCTTCTGTGAAGTAGCCAACATTCTCACATATTTTTTCAAGTTAGCCCCTTGTGTTGTTCTCTAGGGCTCCTAGAGATGCCAAATATTGGCACACATGCCCACAAAAACACCTGCTGTGATCTGTGTGGAAATTCAGAGAAAGTCCCTTCCTTCCATTCATTGGTTTGGGCTTTGGTTTCCTTTGCATCTCATTTACAATGTTTCCTTAGTCTCCCTATAAATAGAGGCCTAAAGGAGATAACTGTTCATTCTGTCCCCAAAAGTAAACTTTTAACACACTTCCTTTCCCTGGTATAGAGATTCCAAATGATACTAACTCTGTAGAGTTACTTGGACATGCATGAATTCTAATGAGCACAAATATACCCAGACTGAGGTTGCTGTTTTAGATTTAGAATGAACTTGGATAAGATAGAGAATTTCCCTACTCTACTCTCAATGGCTGATCCAAAAACTCTGTGAATCCTGTTTTACAATATTGGATATTAATGAAATCTGAAGTGTCCAAGTGACTTACTAATAACTACAGAACCTTGGAAGCAGAGTTATTATACATGAATATTTGGTACACTAAAAAAATGTTCTTCACCAAAAAAAGTAGGAATGTGGTTGTTTGACTGTCATAAATATAGGGTTGACATATGAGATCATTGCAAGTTCAGAATAGCATAATATTAACAAACTGGAAGTTTTGATACTGGGAGAGAAACATTTCATGAAATAAAAAGGGTAAGACTTAATCTTGATCACTGTAGAGATGTTTCTTTTTATACCATTTGCAGTTTCTATAGACTTAACCTGGGTCAGAAAATACACAGTAGAGATGAGATTTGCTGCTTTCCAGAAAAGAAAAATAAAGGTGATTATTTTGGTGAAAAAGAGGAAATCGTTTGCTTATGCCTCAGGCCTTAAGAAAGCACTAGGATTACATCCCAAGTTAGCATGATAGTCCTGTCTACTTAGAATCAGTGGAGTGGCAGTAATTATCTGGTTGAAAAATCAACATTTTCTTTACTCTTTTCTTCTCATCAACTATGAAAACTGGTCCATATGAGCAGAGAAAATAAGTTGAAGCCATATAACTGCCTTTCTTTCCTCTTGCTTGATCTAACTTTGTAGCAGAAAATGTATTCAAATGAAGACAAGTGACATTAGTAAAATGAAATAGGTTATATGATCTCATCACTGTTTCTTAAATTTTAATGTGAATGTACATCACCTAGAAGTAGGACCTTGTTAAAATGTTCATTCTGATATAGCAGGTTCTGACATGACCTGAAATCCTGAAGTTTAGCAAGCTCTGAAATGATGTTCATGCTGCTAAGGACCCAAATGTTGTTAATGGTGCTGAAGACTACACCTTGTACCGTGCTATAGTTTGGATCTTAAATATTCTCCAAATGTATGGAAAGTTTGGTCCCCAGACCATGACATTATTGGGAGGTGGTAGAACCTTCAGAAAGTAAGATTTAGTTAAAGAAAATAAGATCAATTTGTTAAGTTAGGCCCTTGAAGAGGATATTAAGCTTCTGGTCTCTCTTCTTCCCTCTGTCTGTTTTGGGGCCACCATGAGAAAAATACTCTCTTCGGCCACATGTTACCACCATAATGTACCATACCACCTCAGGCCAAAAGCAACAAGGCCAGGAGATCATGATCTGAAACTTCTAAAATCATAGGCCAAAATAATCCTTTCCTCCTTTTAAGTTGATTATCTGGGGTGTTTTTTCACAGCAACAGAAAACTGATTAATAAGTAGCTAAAAATAAAGAGATGTTTAAGCTGTTTTTTTTTTCCTTTGCCATTCTTTATATAGCCACATAGCCAACCCATTTGTACCTCTGAGATTTAAAGCTGAAAACTAAAAGTATTTGCAGCTTAATGTTTGCTGGTTAAGTAATTGTGGTAAAGGCTTAATGTAAAGAAGCTACAAACTGAGAGCATTATGTTAAGTTTAATAATCCAGGCACAGATAGACAAATGCTCTGTGTCCTTACTTATTTGTGTAAGCTAAAAGTTGTTTTCATAGGAGCAAAAAAAAAAAAAAAAATAGAACAGGGGTTACTAGAGGTCAGAAGGGGAAAGGGAAGGAACATAGAAAGAGGTAAGATAATAGGTTAAAAATATATATATATTGTTAGAGAGGAGGAATTAATTCTAGCATTCTATAGAGCAGTGGGATGACTGTGGTCTAGCAGAATTTATTATTTATTTCAAAATAACTAGAAGAGTCCAAAGGTTCCCAACACATAGAAATGATAAATGTTCGAAGAGACAGAGATGGTAATTCACTGATTTGATTGTACACATTGTATACATATAACGAGTTATTGTACTATCCCCCATAAGTATTTACAAATATTATGTGTCAATTAAAAAACAAAGATTCTAATTTAGTAGGCAGGGGTGAGGTCTGAAATGCTGCATTTCAAACATATTGCCAGGAAGCATCAAAGCTGCTGGTTCAAGGATCAAACTTTGAATGGTCAAGGTCTCTAAGGAACAGAATTTACAAAAATCTGCACCCCCCCCCCTTTTTCTTTTCTTTTGTCTTTTTGCTCATTGTTTCACGTTGTTGGTGCCTGTCCTGCGATCCCAAAGCCCGGAGGTGTCCAGACTGGTGTGCATCCCAGGCCACGTGGATGGCTGAGACAAATTATTGTAACCCAGAGAATTCCCTACATGACCAGGACTGCCTCTGTTTTTTCCCATTTTGAATAAATTGAAGTCAGCAGGATTTTTGTCACTTCTCACTTCTGCCCAATTCAAGTTTCTGTCTGCACATGTGTGTACGGATTATGTGGAAGCAAACGAAAAGTCAGGTTCCATCAGCCGCACACCAGACAGCTCTTCATTTCCTAGGTTGGCAGTGGCAACCCAGTGCAGTTTTCCATATGTACTTCACCTTTGTTCCCCCAAGTTGCGTCTACAGTGCATCCTCCCTCACCCCTCTCTGACTTCATTGTCAGCTTCCAGTTTCAGTCAAGGCTCTAACTGTTGGCCACTGACCCTGGAGGAGAAACAACACAGAGCAATCCCAAGACCCTGTTAACCCGTGCCCTGTGACGTTACCCTATCTTCTTTCTCATTACACATCCAGACACCTCCAGATGGTCTTTTGTTTCTGTGCTAAACAAACATATACAGGGAGGCTTTTCTCTATGGATTTCTTCTGAAGTCATATTGCACAAGCGTGAAAACCGAAAAACATCCCACTTCCTACCAGCCAGTTGAAACTTTCCTGATGACAGTCCTAAGTAACCACAAAAGGCAATGAGTTCACATTTCAGTTGGGAGGATTTCCCCTCCCCTCTTCTCCTGTCACTGAGGCATAGAGTTCCCAGCTGATTTCTCCATCTGGCCCAGCCATTCCTGGAAACCTGCTTCCAAAGATGTCAATGAGAAGATGCGGAAGAGTTGCCTGGGAAAGGGAGGTTATGTGGTCTAGTGGCTCTTTCGTGGGCCTGCTGCCTATTTTATTTTTATTGTTATAATTATGTTGTTATATTAATACTAATAATGACAATTATTATTTTGTGGTGCCGGGGATTGAACCCAGGGCCACATAAGCATTCTCCCACTGAGTTACATCCTCAGCGCTGCTGCCTAGAAACACAATTCTTACTTTGTTAAAGAGATATGAGCCACTAACTCCATTTCTTTTTCTTTTCTTTCTTTCTTTCTTTTTTTTCTTTTTTTTTTTTTTTTTTTTTTTTTTTTTTTTTTTTTTTTTTTTTTTTTTTTTTTTTTTTTTGGTAGTAGGATTGAATCCAGGAACACTTTACCACTGAGCCACATCCCCAGCCCTTTTTATTCTTTAGTTAGAGACAGGTCTCACCAAGCTGCTTAGGCCCTTGCTAAATTGCTGAGGCTGACTTCAAACATGTGATTCTCCTGCCTCAGCCTGCAGAGCTGCTGGGATTACAGATGTGACCACCATGCCCAGGTAGTAAATTCTTCCAAATAAAATAAACAATAAAGAATAAAAGTGGTGAGGACATGCAGAGGAGTTACAATTCCTCACTGGGTACACCTTAGGCAGTAAAAATTTCAAAGATTGATCTTATACATAACATCTCAATTGACTTAGACAAAATACAAACCATAATTCTAGCAAAAAAGGCCTTTACTAAACACACACTCACATTATATAGAAAACGGCCTTAATGCAATACAATGTCTTCAATATTGAAGCGCATACCATAACTCCTGCCACTCTCTAGCTTTTCTCAGTGTTTATCCAAGCAGGAGGGCTACATGGTCTCAGAGAGAACAAATTAATCAGTGTTTCCAGGAGTTAGTTTTTCCAAACTGGGTGAGAAAAAATTTTAGAAATGTAATTACTTGTGGGTCAGATTAAGATGCTGTATGATGGAATGATATTATGCAAAGCAAACTGTGTCATTGAGAGGCAAAGAGTTAACACAGGAGGATCACAAGTCCAAAGTTCAAAGAAGTTTCAGCAACTTAGAGAGGCCCTAAGCATCTCAGGGAGACCCTGTCCCTAAATAAAATATGAAAAAGGCTGGGGATGTGGCTCAGTGGTTAAGTGCCCCTGGGTTAAAGCTCTGGACCAAAAAAAAGAAAAAAAAAAAAACACAAAGCAAAATGACTGTAATGGTGGTATGGATGCAGGGAATGATCAAGGTTTCCCCTAGGACCTTTTATGGGACAGAAAATATTCACTACAATGTAGAATCCCAGGAATTTGAGGAAACCCACATTCAAAGATTGCATACACCTAACCCCACTCTAACCCAGTGGGTGCCTTCTTGGAGACTGTCTGCGTGTTTTACCACATTACTTCAGCAATTTCCATTACAAAAGAAGACTGTATCCTTTACCCATGGCATTGATGAGCTCAGAAACCCAACTTTTTTCATGTGGCTCTAGAGGAGATACCACTGTTATTCTTATTTCAATCAGACAGAGAACAATACCTTCCTGAATGGACAACCAGTTGTAGTACTTGGCCTTTTGATGTTCCAGACTTTGTGGAATATGGCAGTAAACACACTATTGTTCCCTTTATGCTTTTCAAATTCAGAGCTAAATAATTCACATATGTTACCACTTTTATACCTCTCCATGTCCCTTTAAAGTAGATGCCAGGATCCAGACATTACAAATCTTCCCTTTTGAAGATAGAAGAGTTGAAGTTACTTAGCTGAATTGGTGGGATGGTTGGATCCTTAGAGGATGGCTCTTGTTCTCCCTAGTAAGGATCAGTTGCTCAGGAAAGATCTTGAGAAATCTGCAAGAGACTGACTATAATTTATTCATGTAAAAAAATAAGGCAGTCCTCATTCTTCTATCTGATCATGTTCAAAATTTTTGTGGCAGTTACTTAAGCAAATTTTATAATAGAATTTTTTTACCACAGGCTATAATCAATTCCAGGTGAATTAAGGGATTAACTGTCAAAAGCAATCCCTTAAAAACCTTAGAAAATTATTTAATTGAATGTCTTTTAGATATTAGGGTTGTTTCTTTCTTAAGCAATAACTACAGAAGAAAATATCAATGAGTTTACATATGAAATTGAGAGTTTCCATTCACCAAATAATACCATAAACTTGAACGACATATTTTTAACATATCAGTAAAGAACATA